CGACCACTTCGGCCTCCCAAAGTGCTGGAATTACAGGCATGAGCCACTGCACCCGGCTTAGGCAGTGTTAAGAATAAACACTCCCTGGCCCATAGTTGTCCAATAAACACGCACATACAGTGGATCCTTTCTGATAGACATTGAGGTAGCCTTTTGCTATTACCAACGATGCTGCAAGCAAGACACATCCTTGTTCACCTGTCATTTGGCACAAGTGCAAGAAGCTCTGTGGGAGAAACTGCTAGTGGAGAAATTGCTGGGTCAAACAGTAGTGCCCTTGTAATTTCAATTAATTTTTGGATGAGCGAATTCTCACAGCAAGCAGGGACTGGGAAAGAGGTCCACCGGGCAGGCAGCAAGGACGAAGGAGGAGCGAGATGCAATGTTTCATCTGAAGTCAAGGGAGGGCTGTATCTGTCCCAGCAACCTGGAAGGATGCAGTGCTTCCCCAAGCCCCTGGCTAAGCAGATAGAGGGTTTAATTTCATCTAGATTGTCCCCATAATGGTTTTACAGAAAATTGGTTGATAGGATTAGAGGAGCAGGTCGCCCTAAAGAGCAGCGGCTGCTTAACAAAATGCTGGAGCAGGTACAGTTTGCCTTTGCCACCATCCACAGCAGCATCTGGGCTCTGATAGGGACCCCCTGGATGCCAAGGTCAACTCAGAATGGTACCCCAGTGGGGCCCTCCTTCCTCAACATCCTTCTAGATCCCAGAATACAGAGTAGACTACAAGGGGTTCAGAGCACGGGTTTTTGGGTAAGACAGATGTCGACCCAAATTTACTGTGTCAGGTAAATGTGTAGGCAAGTCATTTTCCTCCTTGTGTCTCAAAGGATAATGGGACCTACTTTCATGAGGTTGATGTGAGGACTCAATGAATCAAACACAGAAAGGACAGTGGCTGGCACACAGTGAGAGCCCAATAAATCATCATCCAGGAGACACAGATGAATAAAGACAGTTATCCTGGCAGGGCATGGTGGCCCACGGCTGTAATCCCAGCACTTTGGGAGGCCAAAGCAGGCAGATCACGTCAGGCCAGGAGTTCAAAAACCAGCCCGGCCAACATGGCAAAACTCTGTCTCTACTAAAAACACAAAAAGTAGCCAGGTGTGGTGGTGCGCACCCATAGTCCCAGCTACTCAGGAGGCTGAGGCAGGAGAATTGCTTGAACCGAGGAGATGGAGGTTGCAGTGAGCCAAGATGGCACAACTGCCCTCAAGCCTGTGGGACAGAGTGAGATCTTGTCCCAAAAGCCAGGATCCCTGGATCCCACCCCAGAAGACCCTGGGAACAAGATATACACATGTAGCCTCCTACCCCCAGCATTGAACAAGAGCATTTTAGCAGTTGCCCCAGCCACCTCCTAATTTCCAGATTTCCCAGTCCGTGAAATGGGTTGTGTGAGTCATATTTTCAAGGTTTGTTTTGTTTTGAGACAAGATCTTGCTCTGTCACCCAGGCTGGAGGGCAGTGGTCTGATCACAGCTCACTGAAGCCTCAAACTCCTGCCTCAGCTGGAACTACGGGTACACACCAACATGCCTGGCTAGTTTTAAAATTATTTGTAGAGATGGGGTCTCACTATGTTGCCCAGGCTGGCCGCAAACCAGAGTAAATTCTGAAGCTTTTGCGAGAGCTAAAAATACTTTTGTGTGTGAGCCAAAAGGGCAAATTGGGAGTGGGACCCCTCAGATGGGAAGGAGGGGAGGAGCCCTAGAGGGGTTTCCCAAGCCCAACCGGCTCCCCCATTTATCAGATCATGCAATCTGGTTAGAATCTAGTCTGTGAGAAGTCCCAGGAGGACTGACAGTAATGACAACAGCGACCACCCCATTGATCCGGGGGAATCTGACTCGGCGAAGGGCACAGGCTGGGGTCAGACAGGCGTGGATTGGGCTCTATTGTGCACCTGGGTGAGTTGTGGTGTCGCAGCTGGTGATATTCACCTCTCAGAGCCTCACCGGTGAGACTCTCAGAGGGGTCTCACCTGTGAGATGGGGAGGATAAAGGCTCTGCGGCCCGGCTCGGGAGAGAACCGAGGAGGGGCTGGAGAGTGAGCCCCCGCCGCTGGCCCTGCGCAGCCGGCATTCCCCAGCCGGGTACGGCCGGGGCGCACCCCCGTCAACGCCCAGCGGATCACCGGTACAGGGGTGGGTGGGGGGTGTAGGCCAACCCTCCACGCCTCCGCAGGCGGATTCCCCCGCGGCCTCCCGCGCCCCGCAGCGGGGACCCGGGTGATTGCAAACAGCCGCCGGCCTCCTTAGGAGATGTGCAATTAGCGGCTGGCGCAGCCCGAGCCGGCGCGGGCTGATTACCGCCGGGAGCCCGCCGCGCCGCCAACGCGCCAGCCCGCCCGGCGACTGCCGGCGCCTGTACCCTCAGAGCCCAGAAGGGGCTGGGCCTGGTCCGAGACTGGGAGGCCTCGGGCAGCGGCAAAGTGCTTCCTCCCGGGGCTGTGCCTGTGGGAGAGAAGTGGGTTTACCCGCCGAGCGCGGTGGCTCACGCCTTTGGGAGGCCGAAGCGTTGGATCACCTGAGGTCAGGAGTTCGGGACCAGCGTGGCCAACATGGTGAAACTCCGTCTCTACCAAAAATACAAAAACTACCCGGGCATAGTGGCACATGCCTGTAATCCATCCCAGCTACTTGGGAGACTGAGGCAGGTGAGCCTCTTGAACCCAGGAGGCGGAGGTTGCGGTGAGCCGAGATCGCGCCATTACACTCCAGCCTGGGTGACAAGAGTGAGACTCAGCCTCAAAAAACAAAAAGTGAGGGGGCTTACTATGCACTCGCTGTGCCAGGCATCTTGTCCACGTGACCCCGCTTAAATTTCATATCCACCCAGGAGGGAGGAACCATTGTTATCCCATTGGACAGATGAGGAAACAGATCTGAGACGTGAATTAACCCTCCTGACACACGTGGCCAGGCAGGTAAGTGACGGAGTAGGAAATCGAACCTCCATCTGTCATCTCTCCATCTTATTACACTAAGTGGACGAGTGAAACCCTGCACAGGAGGGCACCAGCTGTGTCGACCGGAGCAAGGACTCTGGAGTCAGCTGGCTTTGGGGTTCGAATTCTGATCCTGCTTCTTACTGGATAGGAGGCTTTGGTCTGAGCCGCAACTGCATTTATAAAATAAGCGAGGCACTGCAGTTGAGATGAAGGCTGGGGAAGTGTTAGGGGTGAAATTTCTATGAGGGGTGAAGCGCTCCGAGGGGTTGGGGGTGTCCTGCTCTCTCCGCGCACTGCGGGTCTCTGGCACCCCCTGTTGGCCAAAGGAGGACGCCGCAGACACTGTTTCTGGAGAAAGGTTGTTCTTGGGTGGGGAGTGCTGTCATTGTCACTGGTCCCTCGGCAGGTCCACGGGACTCCCTCCCCCTATTCTTCCCTTCCCTACATTCCCCAACAATCCTCCTTTAAGGTGGCCAAGAAGAGTGGGAGATGGGAAAATTCGGAACTCATTCCAGACTTGCAAAAATCAATTGTGAAAGCTGCCTCCATTACAGATCTCACAGGACCAGCAAGGCCACGACAGTTCCCACAGATAATCAGGGATAGGCATAAATAAAGACTAAGCTATAAAGCCATACATCAAAGTATTGGGTATAACAAGGAAACCTGGAGGTAATGTGAACCTCCACCAAGGGGATACTGACCAACTTAACAGTGATATGTCCAAACAATGTAATACTGCACTGCTGAAAAAAACAGTATTGTAGCTGGACAGTTGACATGAAAATATACCCAAACAGAAATCAATCTTACAATCATATTTAGCAAAAGAAGTCAGACACAAAAGAAAACATGCTGGAGGATATTTATATAAAGTTTAAGAACAGGCAAAACTAATCTAGCAGGGTAGAAGTGGCCAATAGTGGCTAACAGCAGTAAGGGATTTGACTGGAAGAGGACTTGGGGAACCTTCTGAGATACTGAAAATGCTCTTTATTTTAATCTTGGAGGTGGTGACGCAAGTCTATCTATATGTAAAAATTCACTGAGATGTACACTTAAGAATATGTACTTTAGGCCGGGCTTGGTGGCTCACACTTGTAATCCCAGCACTTTGGGAGGTAGAGGCGGGCGGATCATGAGGTCAGGAGTTCGAGACCAGCCTGGCAAACATGGTGAAACTCCGTCTCCACTAAAAATACAAAATATTAGCCAGGCATGGTGACACGCGCCTGTAATCCCAGCTATTCAGGAGGCTGAGACTGGAGAATCGCTTGAACTCAGGAGATGGAGGTTGCAGTGAGCTGAGATCCCGCCATTGGACTCCCGCCTGGGTGACAGAGCAAGGCTCCTTCTCGAGAGCGAGAGAAAAAAAGAATATGTACTTCATGTAATACCCCAATGAGACATTAAAAAAAAAAACTTGAAAATAAAAAACATAATTTAACAGACGTCATAGTGCTCAAACTGTTTTCTCTGTCTCAGGACCCCTTTACACGTGTTACTGTGGATCCCAAAGAGCTTTTATTTTTGTGGGTCATATTTACTAAAGCTGAGAAATGTTTAGAAAACATTATACAATTCCATTAGCTGTTAGAGCAATGATGTCATCACGTCAAGCAGTCTCCGGAAAACTTGACTGTTCATTCTGAGAGAGTGAAAAAGGCAAGTAACATCTTAGTATTATTATGAACGTAATTCTGACTTCGGGGACTCCTAAACTGAGTGAGTTTAGGAAATCTCTGTGGTCCCCAGACTACACTTTAAGAACCGCTGGCGCAGGGAGAAAATGATAGAAGAAAACACGTGACACGACAACAGTTATTCTCTCTCAGTGCTGGGATTATAATTTATTTGCTTCTTGGTGCTTTTCTGTTAAAAAAAAAAAAAAAGGAAAAAAGAAATGGAAAATACAATGACCACGTATTGTTTCTGTAAACCAAAAACGAGACAGCACACTCGCCTCCCTAAGATTGTTGAAAGGCGCAAACAACACTACCATATTTAGCTGTATGGAAGAATTAAACTGAGCTCTAACCTGAAAATAAGGGTCCGATTTCCCGTTTGTCAGTCCCTGGGCTGTTGAGGTGCAGGGTCTTGCCCTCAAAAGCTCCACCGTTCACCTTGGAGAGAAAATATACTCGCATACATAACTGTGCTGCAAGGTTTCCAGGGCCCCAAGAAAAGCGGCTGCATCCTATATTTACAATACAGTACACGCTACTGTAAACTCCGGAGTGCAGCAGAACCAACCACCACAGCTGCAAGACGATTCATACCTGGAGTTCAGCCCTCAAACTAGTCCGGGTCCTCCGCAGTACGCATGCGCGCTTTCAGAGACGAGGCGGGTCTTGAGGGAGACTGACAGAGCTCGGCTTCTCAACTTTCTAGCTCCGCCCTCATGTCCTGCCTCCTTCTCTGAATGGCTGAAAGGCTGAGGAAGCAAGCTTCCCATTGGCAGCGGGCGGAACCCACATCCGGTTGGCACCTCGGGCCGGAGGGCGCGGAGGCAGCCATGGTGCGATTCAAGCACAGGTAAGCTCTTCCTTCCAGACCCACCCAGTGTCTTGGCAGGACCTCGCGGCCTCGCAAGCGCCCACCTTCCTCTCGCCTGCCTCAGGTATCTGCTCTGCGAATTGGTGTCGGACGACCCCCGCTGCCGCCTGAGCCTCGATGACCGAGTTCTGAGCAGCCTCGTACGGGACACGATCGCCCGGATGCACGGGACTTTCGGCGCAGCCGCCTGCTCCATTGGCTTCGCGGGTGCGAGGGCGCTGGGGGAACCCGGGAGGATGGCGGGACGTGGAAGGGGCAGGCGCCGGAGGAAGAAAGAAGGGGCACGAGCCACTGCTGGAGTGGCCCAGCCCCCGTGCAACTGCTTTTTGTAAGGTATCTCTTTAAGCGCCTGGGACCCCGAGCGAGACTTGATCCAGACAAGTCCGAAGTTAGCAGAGAGCTAAAAGGAGGGGCCCGAAGGCAGTGAGACCTTGAACTAAAGGCCTCTTTTTACCTGTTTGACATCTGTAATTTGTTGTAATTGAATTTGATAGAGAATTAAATGAGGGAAGCAGTGTATAGTTGCTAGTAAGAGCTGTATGACCGATTACATTAACGTCACATGGAAAAAAAAAATTGTCAAAAGTACCCCTGGGAAAGCCCTTAAATAGTTGGCAGAGTGCAGAACACATGATTGTTTATATATGTAAATATAGGATGAGCTGCAACAAAGAGGGGCCCTTCCACACCACTTAAATTAGTTCCCTCTTTTACTTCGAAGATAGGCTTAAATCCCCTAAATCAGGTGAGACTAAGCTGACTGCTACAAGAATTAGAGCCCAATTGCAGCAAAACAGCCTGTTTTTCAGGCAAGAGTTTTGTAGTTTTTTTCCTAAATAAAAATGGATCGCCTCCTACCTGCTCCTATTTATTGAATTAACTAGTTAGTGAATTAGAAAGCATTTTAAATTCTAAATTCGTTCACCAGTTCTGAGTGGTATGCAACACAGTGGGTGTTTTGGCTTTTCTCCTGTTTTTACTCGCTGATACATCCTACATGCCACTTGCCTGCAACATACATTGAGCACATAGTAGGTTCTGTTACTCCAAGGTTTTTAATATGCTCCTGCGACTCCAAAGTTTCCCCCTTTTTTTTTTTTGGAGACAGAGTCTCGTTTCACCAAGGCTGGAGTGCAGTGGTGAGATCACAGCTCATTGCTGGCTTCACCTCCCCAGTTCAAGCAATTCTCATACCTGAGCCTCCTGAGTAGGGAATTACAGGCGTGCACCCCACCATGTCTGGCTAATTTTTGTATTTAGTAGAGACAGGGCTTCATCATGTTGGCCTGGCTGGTCCCGAACTCCTGACTTCAAGTGATCCGCCCACCTTAGCCTCCCAAAGTGCTGGGATTATAGGCATGACATGAGCCAACACACCTGGCAAAAGTTTTCCAAAACGATTGTTTTCCCCGTTCTAGTTCGATACCTCAATGCCTATACTGGAATAGTGCTACTTCGATGCAGAAAAGAATTCTATCAGCTTGTGTGGTCAGCTCTTCCCTTCATCACGTACTTGGAGAACAAAGGACATCGTTACCCATGCTTTTTCAACACGTTACATGTGGGAGGTAGGAGTGGAATGTTACCACATGGCTACTGATTTTCAATAGGTGACACGTTCAGAGTTGAGTCTAAACTGTTGGGTGGGTCTTCTTCCTGTCCCACTAACAAGACACTCTTCCCCTACCTCTTTATAAAGTCGAGACCTTTCACAAGCTGTTGACCACAATAACTCATATGCCAGGTACAATAAGAACATGTCAGAAGTTCCTAATTCAGTACAACAGGAAACAGCTGTTGATCTTGTTGCAGAACTGCACTGATGAAGGTAAGCAACACTAGCCCAGGGCCCACTGAGCAGTGACAGACCTTGAGCCAAAGAAATCACTCCCAAAGTCATCTTTCATCTGTTATCTGCCTTCTCCAGGAGAGCGGGAAGCTATCCAGAAGTCTGTGACAAGAAGCTGCTTACTAGAGGAGGAGGAAGAGTCAAGTGAGGAGGCTGCCGAAACAATGGAGTGAACCTCTACTCACCATACAGCAGGCTACACTGTGCTCTAGTTTCAAGCTCACTTGAACAGAACATTCTGGGTAGCAACAGCATCTTCTAGTTTTCCTAACTAGATAGCTGCAACCAGAGGACACGTTACCCACTTGAAATGGAGTAGTCAGTTAAACTGAAGTTGCCTTTACCGAGCATTCCCTGGTTAAGTGCTGTAGGTTGTGAACTCTGTATAGACATCTTTGTATCTAATTGCTTGGCTAAGAGTAGGTTTAATAAATGTATCTGGTTTCCGTGGTAACTAGCATACTTATGTTACAAAAAGAGCTTATGGAGTCCATGCTTGGCCAAGTCTCTATTCCCTCTCTATCCCTAGCCTTGGTGGGAAGACTGACTCCCTATGTGGTACTAGTTAAAATTTTTTTTTAAAACAGTCTTGCCCTATTGCCCAGGCTGGAGTGCAGTGGTGCAATCTCGGCCCACTATAACCTCCGCCTCCTGGATTCAAGCGATTCTCCCATCTCAGCCTCCCAAGTAGCTGGGATTACAGACACGTACCACCACACCTGGCTAATTTTTGTATTTTTAGTAGACACGGGGTTTTGCCATATTGGGCAGGCTGCTGTTGGAACGCCTGTCCTCAAGTGATTGGCCTGCCTTGGCCTCCCAAAGTGCTGGGATTGACAGTGTGAGCTACTGCACCTGGCCTAGATTTTCAATACTTAGCCTTCTACTTGAGGTTTTGTACCCCCAGCCCCCAAGATGAGCCCTAAGCAAGGCAAGTCATTTGAAATAGAAATTTTAGTTGAGACACAGCAACTAAACTAGCAGAGAGCTACAGCCAGTCTCAGCACAGAACCTCAGGGTCTTAGGTACCAGATTCCTTGCCAGTACTTAATCAGGTAACTTTAAATATGCAACTTTTGCAGTTGGGGTGGGAGAGCTGGCCTCACCTGACATCATTATTGCACGGCCATGTAGCGGGCGCCCACTTAAAGAACTTAAAGTAGTTTTTTTGTAGTTCTGCTCTTTATTGCCTTATACCTGAAGACAAGTGAGACTGCCACACTCACTAGGAAGCAGGAACGGTGAGAGATTGTGATCCAGGTTTGGTCTACTACCCACGGACATCTCTAAGATCTGTCCTCTCCATAATACAATGGATTACACTGAAAGTACTTACACACATTTAACAGAAATACTGGTGACTGGCTTCATTCAACATGCCTCCCTCATTTTTTTTTTTTTTTTTTTAGCCAGAGTATCACTCTCACTCTGTTACCAGGCTGGAGTGCAGTGGTACGATCTTAGCTTACTGCAACCTCCGACTCCCTGATTCAAGCTATTCTGCCTCAGTCTCCTGAGTGGCTGGGATTACAGGCACCTGCCACCATGCCCAGCTAATTTTTGTATTTTTTGGTAGAGATGGGGTTTCACCACATTCGCCAGGATGGTCTTGATCTCCCCTCGTGATCCGCCCGCCTCATCTTGAGGCCAGAACACCCTGATCCACCCAGGAAATTTCCTGAAAGGATTTCTTTTAAAATGGCAGATTAAAGCTAAGCCCAGCTCTGAAACCATTTAAACCTGACACCAGAAAAGACGGCCCACGATATCCTGGTAACTATCATGTTAACCTATTCAAGAAATAACTTATCTGGCTTACCTGTGATGAACTTAACAAAACAAAAAGGTCACATTGCTTGTGCAGGTGATTTATTGCAACCATTTGCCGTCGCAGTCTAATATACCTAGAGGTCACTTTATTAAGCAGCAAGAGTTCACATGAAAATTAGCTCAAATCAAGGCATAAGAAAACTGCTCTAGATCAGAGGGAGACAGCAATGCTATGGCTTCAGACGGCCCTGCTTTTATCCAGCTGTACAGACTCCTGTTCCTACGACTCAAGCCACTGTCACTGAAAACAAGCTCAATCTTAGGGGTAGCAGGTCTCAGGGCTTCCTTCATGAGTTACAGCTTTCCTTGCCAATGCAAGCCATGCTCAAGAAGAGGCAAAACTCTCCTTTCACACATGCAAGTGCCAAGGACAACCTACCTCATTAAGCTGGCACCACAGCCTGGCCATGTGTCAGAAGAAAAATAAACTGCAATTCAAACTGGGTGTCCTAAATCCATTTTATTCCCACTCTGCTTTCAAGGAGAACTAAATAGTAAGGATTCAACTGTTTTTAAAAGAGAGAGGTGCTGAGCCCAGGAAGCCCTGACACAATGCTACAGCAGAGCAGTGCTGTGCCATTCTGGGCTGGACAGCCTAATGCATGTCGAAGGGACTCAATCTTATTTTAGGTTGAGAAAAATTAATTACACATGGTTCAAAAAGACTACACTCACAACAAACTAAAAACCTTGGCAGGAAGAAATCTCTTGTGAGTGTCAATACTTTATTTTGGTGTAAAGACAGGAAGCTGGAAAATACACTGTATTTAAAATTTTCTTGGTTCCCCCTCACATTGTGGAAACCCCCTCCCCCCCAGAGCTAATCTGATCAAACTCAAATACTTAAAAATTACAGCAGCCAAACAAAAGCATGGGGTTTAAAAAAAAAAAAAAAAAAAAAAACAGATGGAGAAGGTAGCCTGGGCCAGTAGTGTCACTTGGTGTGGACGATTGAGGTGCTGAACAGGAGCTTCTGTTTCTGCTTTTTTCTTTTCTTTCCTCCTTTCTCTTCTAAAGGGAGACACAGAAAGAGAGGTTGCTTAACTTAAAATGCCATCCCTTGTCCCCTGGCCAATTTTCATTACTGGGAGAGTGGAGGCTCTGGAATTAGACTGCCTAGACTCTAATACCAGTCTTGGTATACACTAAGTGGGTGTTTTTGAACAAGTCACTTTTACCTCCCTGGACCCGTTTCCCCATCTGTAATGTGAGGTAAACCCATTTAATGTGGTTGTTGGGAGGATAAAATTAGCACGGTGCAAGGCACACAGCACTGAGAGAGGTGCTGAGCTTCTCATATGTGATTCTTATCTAAGTCACAAACAGAGTATAACAGGCTTTGAGAGTTAATTCTCCTAATTGGCTACCCTGTACCAACTCAAGATTCTA